AGACTCATTGTAACAAACTTCTCTCTCTCCTCTGTTTTCTGTTTTCAGCTTCTTGAAGAAGAAGACGTTGACGGAAATATATAAACAGCTTTGACCACTGCTTATGGGCCATGGGCCAANGCAAACCGATTTCTTTTTCTGTAAAGCCCAAATCACTTTACTTAGCCCATTAATATCTTTTTGCTGAACGACACCGTTCCAACATAAAACATATAAATATATATGTTAATGTAAAAAGCCATCTAAGTTGATTATTTTTTGTTTCATTTGTGCCAAAATTTGCAAAAAACAATTATGCTAAAGTAAAAAATCCACCACCAATGTTTTAAATGGGTACGAAGGATTAAACCATTCATACAAATTTAAATCTAAATAATCATATCACAAGCTACAAGAAATGAAATAAGTAATACAGTAATAAAAAGAAAATAATCAGTTTATCGCGGTCGCCCTAATTTTATCCTCCCAGGCACGTTCCCCAAGGAGCCGCAAAACAAACCTCCTCCGCCGATCTCCTTTCCTCCGGTACAACTCAACATCCTCCCCACCACCATCCTCTCACTGTTGTTGGGTCGGGCTTCTCTCCGGCCCTAAGCCGTGAGAAAGGCTCCGGCAAGTTCATCTTCCCATTGTCTTATCTTGTCTCTTGTTGCCCGACGCTTTTTCTTTAGTCTTCGTTTCGATCTCTTGTACCTTCTCTCACTCACATACCGGACATGGTCGCTCCCTTGCCGCAACTCGTTTTTGCCTTGCCGTCGACTGTCGGGGCTCCCTCCTTCTCACCGTTCCTTGCTTGTTCTCGTCATCCAATGGAACAAAAAAATATTCTTCTCCACCTGACCTCGCCTTTGATACGCTGGACGCTGGTAAATCGGAGCCGATGTCTGAAATCTTCGCTTCTAAGCGAGTCTCTACTGCTGAGTGCAGCCGTCATCTACAGATCTCCTCTGGTCTCTCTCCGAAGGCTAGGCTTAAGCTTCGTTTGACATGGTTATTTAATCGCTCACCGAAGTCTCGATCTCTGCCATCTTGCTCCAACACCCGTGTACTTCCAGTGGTCATATACCGTCGGTTTGAGTTGGAGTCACCGGCCGGAGGCTTCTCACGCAGCTGCTATAATCTTCCGTCACGGAGGACACGGTACTTTTACCCGTCGTCTTCATCCCTCCGTTACGAGAGCTATCAAAGTTGGGCTTGGCCCATTTTGAGTATTGGGCTTGTTAGCCTTTCAAGCCCATCTTCTGTGCTTTCAAAAACTAGGTTATGTGCTGATTATTTACTTTGGTGTTACTACTGATTTTAACACAGCTCTTGCCTTATCAACGATGGCTTCTATATCAAATTACTCCTTTTTGGGGAGAAATCAGCTATAACTTCTTTCCATTGTGGGAAGAGATTAATTCCAATTTCTTCAAGCTCGATCTTCATGAATCTCAAACCCAGGTCACGTTCTTATGAATATGTTATGTGTATTGGGGTGATGACAAAAAAGATGGCTTTATCAAGGAAATTTTCTGAGTCATATACTTTCTCTACTATCAAAGTATCAAAGTTTTTTGGATTTTCAAATCTTGTATTTGGCGAGCTCGATATCTTCTTTCAAGAGAGAAGATCAAAATTTTATGGATTTGCAAATTCTGTAATTTACTCCTAGTAGAAGAGTTCAATTCCACCTTCTTCCATCTCTTTGAGCATAGTCGTATTTTCTTCCCTCTTATGGAGAGTGGTTGAACCCCCATGCTTTATGCCGGGAACTTTAAAGTCACATGGTAAAATGACTAACCTGAGATTTTCCGGCTTTGCCGCGAAGATCTTCTTGACGCATCCGAGGCATGCTTTAGATTCGCTATCCATCTTTTGCGATGATATATTTGCTTTATCCTTTATTGCATCCCAATTATGTTGTAGTAATTCTGGAAGATGTTTAATTCCCTCCATTTGTACTTTGATCAGTTAAATGAATGAAATAAACTTGTTTGACA